CAAAGGAGTACTTCTGCCTGTGTTGGGTATAAGACCTTCCCATATTCGTTTCTAACCCCTAACTACCCCACAAGAGTGAACCATGGGCAATCAGAAGTCCCGCCTGGACCCTAAATTGCCATTAGGATGCCTAGCCCAAAATCTACCCAAACTAGGTCTTTCCATTAAAAAGAAAAGGCTACTTTTCCTCTCCACTGTGGCCTGGCCACAATATCCCCTAGACAACCAGTCCAAGTGGCCTCCAGAGGGCACATTCAACTTTAATGTCCTGACAGACCTAGACAACTTTTGCCAAAATAACAGTTAATCGTCAGAGGTCCCTATGTGCAGGCTTTCTGGTACCTTCACTCCCAGCCCACCCTCTGCTCCTCTTGTTCCTACTCCCAGGTTCTGTTAGCCAAAACCCCGCCTTTGCCCTCAGCCCTGCCCGGTTCCGCACTCTCCGAAGACCTAGAAGACCTGTCCTGCCCTGCCCACTTTACCAACACCCCTCCTTATGTGAGGCCTCAACTCCCTCCTCCCTCGTCTCCTTCTCCTTCCCAAAGCCCTAATATAACTTCCCCTGTCAGTGCTCATACCCGCTCTCACAAACCCCCCTTCCTCTGCAACTTTGTGTGAGGTAGCCAGAGCAGAAGGCGTTGTCCGAGTGCACGTTCCCTTCTCTCTCTCTGGTCTGTCAGCCATTGAAAAATGCCGAGGGTCATTCTCTACCAATCCTACTGCATATACCAAAGAATTTCGTTACCTCACCCAGGCATACGACCTAACCTGGCATAACACCTATGTGATCCTGTCTTCCACTCTTACTCCTGATAAGTGTGACCACATTCTTACAGCAGCCCAAGATCACGCTGATCAGGTACATTCTCACAAACAATCAAATACCAGTAGGCACAGCCGCGATCCCCGAGGCCGACCCTAATTGGGACTATCAAACCGGTCAAGATGGCCACCACCGCTGAGACCAAATGTTACAGTGCCTTCTAGCAGGCATGCAAAGCGCAGCTCAAAAGGTAGTTAATTATGACAAGTTAAGGGAAATAACTCAGGGTCCTGATGAAAACCCAGCTGCCTTCCTAGACCGATTAACTAATGCTATGATCTTCCATACCTGGCTAGATCCGGCCTCCTTAGCAGGGGCTACAGTCCTAGCCACCCACTTCATCTCCCAGTCAGCAGCTGATATAAGGAAGAAACTTTAAAAAGCTGAGGAGGGCCCCCAAACTCCCATACGGGACCTGGTGAACATGGCATTTAAAGTTTTCAATGGCCGAGAGGAACAGGCTGAGGCCACCCACCAGGCCCGTTTACAGCAAAAGGTAGGCCTCCAAACCCAAGCTCATGTAGCAGCCCTGAGGCCGGGAGCCCACCGAACATCTGGTGGAGGGGGTCCATTGAAACCCTCCCAAAATTCGTCAAAGGCCTCGCCTGGGCCCTGTTTCAGATGTGGCCAGGAGGGACACTGGGCACAGCAGTGCCCCTGTCCTCATCTACCTCCTGGGCCCTGCCCAAGCTGCAAACAAACTGGACACTGGAAGGTTGACTGCCCATCCCGGGCTGCAGGCTCACCCACCACACCTCTGTGTGGAGGGCAGGACAGTCCACAGGAAGCAGTCCCTTCACTTGAACTTCTCGGCCTTCTGGACGACTGATGCTGCCCGAACTCGAGGACCCCCATCACCCTCGCTGAGCCCAGGGTAATGCTGCAGGTAGCAGGTAAGTCCATTCCCTTTTTAATGGATACGGGGGCTACCTATTCTGTACAGCCTTCCTACTCAGGACCTAGCATACCTTCCCAGGTTTCAGTCATGGGGATTGATGGAAAGCCGTCCTCTCCTAACCAAACTCGTCCCTTAGCCTGTGTCCCTGAGGGACACCCCTTCTCCCACTCCCCCTTTTAGGACGAGATATTCTCCGGACTGTAGGGGCCACCCTCCAATTCACCGGCCCCCCACATTCAAGCTCATCATCTGCCCACCTCCTACTGCTACTCCTAACTGGTATCACGCCCTGCCTTAACCCCTCACCTAAACCCCCTATCCCTCCTAATGAAGTTAATCCCTCAGTATGGGATACCTCCAAGCCTGTGGTGGCCAGACATCACACACCAGTTAAAATACTCCTGAAGAACTCTACCAACTTTCCCTCATGTCCTCAGTTTCCCATCTCAAAAACCCACTGCCAGGGCTTAAAGCCTATCATCACCTGACTTCTGGCCCAGGGACTCCTTATCCCCACCAGTTCCCCTTGTAATACTCCTATCTTACCGGTCCAAAAGCCGACCGGTGACTACCGCCTAGTTCAGGACCTGCGCCTCATCAATGAGGCGGTGGTACCCATCCACCCAGTGGTCCCCAACACATACACTCTATTATCCAACATTCTCTCCACTACCTCTCATTTTACAGTTCTTGACCTTAAGGATGCCTTCTTTACTATTCCCCTTCACCCAGAGTCTTACTTCCTTTTTGCCTTCACCTGGACTGATCCTGACACCAACCTGTCACAGCAGCTCACCTGGACAGTCCTGCCCCAGGGATTTAGGGACAGCCCCCACATTTTTGGACAAGCCTTAGCAGCTAACCTTAACTCCTGCTCCCTCCAACCCAGTCTCCTTCTCCAGTATGTGGATGACCTGTTACTTTGTAACCCCTCCCTCTCTCTGTCTCAAAAACATACTGCCACTCTCCTTAACTTTCTTGGATCCAAGGGGTACCAGATATCTCGCTCTAAAGCACAGTTATCAGTCGCCTCAGCAGTCTACTTAGGCATTCGCCTCACCCCCAAAACTTAAAAGCCTAACAGCCAACCGCCGGCAGGCACTTCTTTCATTGCAGCCCCCAGAGACTGCAGACCAGATTCTCTCCTTAGGATTTGTAGGATATGTCCGTCACTGGGTACCTAACTTTGCCATTCTAGCTAAACCTCTGTATGTGGCAGCTAAGGACACACCCATGGGACCCCTCTCTCATCCCAGAGTTGTAAAACAAGCTTTCAGAACCCTACAAGCTTCTCTGTCCATGGCACCTCCACTTCATCTGCCAGACCTTAACCATCCCTTCCACTTGTTTACTGATGAGAAACAAGGGATTGCAGTTGGAGCCCTAACCCAACCCCTAGGTCCCGTGTATCATCCTGTAGCATATTTATCAAAACAACTTGATCCCACAGTCAGGGGATGGCAGCCTTGCCTGCAGGCCCTGGGGCGGCAACAACTCACCAAGGAATCCCTAAAACTTAGCTTATGCCAGCCTATCTCAGTGTTTTCTCCTCATTGACTGACCGACCTTCTCTCTCACAAATCTCTCCCTCACCTAGGACCCTCTCGCCTACAGGAGTTTCATCTACTCTTTATTGAAAATCCGTCAGTTAGCCTTCATTCCACTTCTCCACTCAACCCAGACATATAGGGCCTAAAGCGTTGCACCATTTCATGCAGCCCCTCTTTTTCTTGTCAGGTCTGCAACAGATGATTAAGCAAGTACACAAGGCATGCGTTGCCTGTTCTAAGGTCTCGCCTCAGGGAAGCTTAAGGCCACAGTTTCCTACCCACCAAATGCATGGCCATCTGCCAGCTCAAGACTGGCAAATAGATTTTACCCATATGCCCACGCACAAAAAACTCCGCTACCTCTTAATCTTTGTAGATACCTTTTCTGGATGGATTGAAGCCTTTCCCACCTCCAGGGAAACCGCAGACACGGTGCCCTCCCTCTTAATCCAGGAGATTATCCCTCATTTCGGCTTACCTGGAAACATTCAGTCAGACAACGGTCCGGCGTTTACAGCCCGGGTGGTCCAGTAAGTCGCCAAGTCTCTCAACATCTCCTGGAAACTACACATCCCCTACCACCCTCAGTCGTCGGGTAAAGTTGAACGGGCTCACGGCATCCTCAAGAATCATTTGGCCAAACTCACCATAGAGGTAAAACTCTCCTGGCCCACACTCCTACCTCTTGCTCTAGCCCGGATCCGAGCCACCCCATGGGAGCCAACAGGTCTCAGTCCCTTTGAGTTGCTATATGGCAGGCCTTTTCTAGTTTCTCACCATCTCCCGGTACAACCACGTCCTCTGGCTTCCTACCTTCCCTACCTCTCTCTCCTCCGCCACTTACTCGGAACACACAGACCGTACTCTCCCTGTAGTTCCGGGACCAGAGGACTCCCACCCGACTATACCTCTCCAGCCAGGTGACAGTGTCCTCCTCCGGGAACTCGAGCCAGGGTCTCTGCAGCCCATATCATTATCTTAACTACCCCAACTGCCGCCAAACTTTTAGGCCACACCCCTTGGTACCATGTGTCACGCCTCAAACTGCTCCCAAGAATGATCAGTGGAGGTCCAAACCCTTGGGCCCCACTCGCCTCCGCCTCACCTGTAACCCCTACCTGTCAACTCCTAACCCTTCAAATTCTCCTCCTAACAATCCTTCTGGCATTCCCTCTTAAAGCTAACCCTTACTATGTCTGGCGGTCCTACCTTCAGGGGTCCTGGACGGTAGGCCGAACCACTAAAACCCAATACCTTGCCCAAGCAGATTGCCAGCCCGCAGGCTGCCAATCAGCTGTAAAATTTGAATTCTCTAAATCCAAGTCCAATACTATCAAAAACTCCTGGAATAACTTTGGCCTCTGCTTTCTTTATGACCAAACCAAAAACTTCTGTCGTTCGAGGAGCGATACCTACGGCGGATGCCCATACACTTCTTGTGTTATACACAGAGCCTTCAGAACAGGCACCTCCCCAGCAAGTAAAATGCTTTTTCTCAACCAAGATAAAGTGTCCCTTATCATCCATGATCCCTGGGACGCCCGTTGGAAAGAGGGTACTGCAGGTAAAATATATACCAAGTTTACAAACAGCCGCCCCAGTGGTACCTGGCTAATATTCCAGTCCTATATACGGATCGTACCCGTGGAAGTAGAACAACTCAATTCGTTAAGAAATTCCATCTTACAAAATGAGGCTACTTTAACTAACCAACTTAAGCCCTCAATTCAACCCAGGCCCTCAAACTACGCTCCCCAGCCTTTCTCCTGGCTAACTCTAGTACAGCAAGGGGCTTACATATTAAACTTAACCGGGGCCACAGATTTCACCAACTGCTTTTTATGCGCCTTCCTTAACAAACCCCCCTTAGCCGCAGTTCCCCTCCAGACTGGGTTCAACCTGTCACAATCTCCCATGGGGCCTGACACCACCTTGACGGGTAATCCCTTGTTCAATGTACATTCTCAAAGCCTCTCTCTCTGCTATGGGTCAGCCAGCAGCCCCAGCCTCAGGTGCAACACCACGGCAGAAGTAAAATCCTCCTTTTATGCGCCTCCAGGAGGATACTTTTGGTGTAATGGAACCCTAACCAAAGTTATTAATGCATCCCTCCCTTTCCCTTGTGTGCCCATCACACTAGTCCCGCAGCTAGAAGTGTACAGACAAGCTGAGTTCCTATCCCTCATCACACTGTCCCCTAATCACTGAAGCAAACAGGCAGTCTTCCTCCCGATAGTAGTTGGCCTCTCTTTAGCATCCTCTCTAGTAGCAGCTGGAATAGGGAGTGGTGCCATGGGCTACAGCGTCACTTCAGCCGCCCAACTGGAAGACAAGCTCTGTGTGGCTGTTGAAACATCAGCCGCCTCTCTAGCCTCCCTCCAGCGACAAATCACGTCGCTGGCTCAGGTAACTTTCCAAAACGGAGGGGCCCTAGACTTACTAACGGCAGAAAAAGGAGGTACCTGTTTGTCCAGGAGCAGTGCTATTACATCAATGAAACAGGCCTTGTGGAAGAAAATGTCAACACTCTCTATCGCCTCCAAGAGAACCTCCGCAAGAAGCAGAGCGCACCAGCCTCGTCTCTCCACTGGTGGCAACCCCCCATGCTTACCTGGCTGACTCCCATTATCACCCCTGTTATTATTGTGTGTCTTCTACTAATACTAGCCCCTTTTTTTCCCTCAAGTTTTTACAGGCCCGCATGAGAGAAATTTCCAGCGTGGCCTGGAAATATGTAAGCATCTCCAGATGATGCTTCACCCCTACATCCGACTCCCAATCAAGGCACCAGCCAACTGACTCCTCCCCCCACTTCGCCCCTATTCAGCAGGAAGTAGCCAGAAAGAAGCGGCGTCCTATATATCATCAAAAAGGTCGGAATGTAAGGCTGGTTGCCTCGCCAGGAGTTCGAACACGCCCATCTCCCTCCCTACTGAAAAATTATCAGAATATGCCCATCATCTAGCTCCGCCTTGGAAATCCCCTCTGCACTCAGCACCTAACCCCACCCTTGGAAATCCCCTCTGCACTCGGCACCTAGCCCACCTTGGAAATCCCCTCTGCACTCAGCACTTAGCCCACTCACCAGAAATCCCCCCTACCTACCAATAGCAGCTCACCCCATCCACATCCTGTTTCTCCAAATCTGATCAAAAGCCTTCACGCCCTATAAAACCCCACTCCTGAGAGAAGTCAGGCGCAATTTCCCTGGCCCCTCTCCCCGCGACCACAGAACCTCACCCAGGAGCTGAATAAATTGGCATCTAATTTTCTTGTGCTGGCCTCAGTTTCCTCGTTTTTAACTTGGCAATAAACCTATAGAGAATTAACATTTTCCCCTTCTCGTTCTACACACTGGCCATGAGCAATCTCATCCATGCCCATGGATTATGTCCATGGCTTTCCCTCCCACTCCCTAGGCTGATAACTTTCCAATCTCTATCTTTGGTCCAACTCACTCCCATGAGCCCTAGACGCCGACTTCTGGCAGCCTTCCAGAGACTCCTCCCAGATGTCATAAGGACACCTCAAACTCAGCATTTCCAACACTAAATTCATGATCTGCCCAAATCTCCTTCTCCTGTGATCCTTGAACCAAGGACGGGATATGCTATCTACCCAGTGCTCAAGCGAGAAACTAGCACTCACCTCGACTCTTCCCTGGAAGCCTCATCCTAGTTCTGTTGAGTTTACCTCTCAAGTGTCACTCAAACCCTCTCATTTCTGTCTTCTCCACTATCAACCCCCTGTTTGGGCCATCGCCTCTACTATTGGAATAACCTCTTGCCTAATGTCCCTGCCTCCTGTCTTTCTTCCCTCCCTCCCTCCCTCCATTCCCCAGCATGGTCATTCTAAAATCCAAACCCAGTCGTGTCATCCCTTGGCTCAAAATCCATCTAAGGCTTCTCATAAAATCCCAAACCCATTAGACGACCTTGGATGCCTTTCCCAGTCTCTCTCCTCACCACATTTTTCCTTGCACCTGCCATGATGAGCAATGATTACTCAGTTTCCCCAATGCTTCATCCTCCCTCTTTCTTCCAGGTCCCTTTTCCACCCCCGGCCTCACTCCTTTGCCTAATTTCTACTCATCTTTTAGCTCGCCGCCTCCTGGTCTTCCATGACCAGCCTTTGCCCTGAGTGTCAGCCACTGCTCTTGGCCTCCATCGCTGACCTTGCTGGCCACCATTCATAGTGCTGCTCACACTGGCTTTCTGTCTCCCATCTAGCGTTTGTGTCTCCCATTATGCTGTCCTTTTTGTGGGCAGTGATGCCAGCAGCCAGAATAAGGCCTGATAGGTAGAGATCATGAAGGAGTGAATAAAAAGAAGAAAGAATGAAGTACAACCTGGCATCAGTCTAGGAGGGCTTATGGTGTGGGGTGTGACTGGCAAGGGAAGGAGATAGCAGGAGTCTCCTGACAGCTAGGGGATGGGGGAGGTGAAGGAGCCATCATTCCAAAGGCCGATTGTGTTTAATATTCATGTACAAATATGAAGACATGGCCCCTTCAAAAATAGCAACACTCAAGATGATGGGAATTAAAAAGTCCTTAGGGGTAGTGATGTGCAGAGTGAGGAAGGAACCCTGGGTTCCAATCCCGGGTTTGCCCGAGTGGGGCTTGTGCCTTCACCACTCCTGTGGAGCCTCTGTTGCTCTTCCAGAAGGTAATAATGGGCCCAGGGTCCTCAAATGTTTCCTCCAGCTCTGACTCAATTCTGTCTGGGTGACTGACTTAGCCTGTCCTAATTCCAGGACTTCCCAATGCAGAGCTGTTTGGGAGTTAAATAGCTAAAGTTCAGGGTGGCTGGGTGCAGTGGCTCCCGCCTGTAATGCCAGCACTTTGGGAGGCCAAGGCAGTCAGATCACTTGAGCTCAGGAGTTCGAGATTAACCTGGCCAACATGGCAAAACCTCATCTTTACTAAAAATACAAAAATCAGCCAGGTGTGTGGCAGGCACCTGTAGAAGGCCGAGGCAGGAGAATTGCTTGAACCTGGGAGGCAGAGGTTGCAGTAAGCCGAGATGGCACTGCTGTACTCCAGCATGGGTGCAAGAAAAGAAAACAACACAACTTACCCGAGAGGATAAAGAAGATGCCGGAGACAAAGGCTAGTATCGTCCGGTGGGGACGGATGTGTCCAATGTTGCTCAGGATGAACCCAATGAACATGAAGAAGAGGCTGACCAGAGGGAACGGTGTGGCTGAGCGGATCATCTCTAACGGGGCAAAAGGGCGGCCTGTCAGCCTCCAGGCCTGACTCATTCCTCCTCATCCCAAGCTGAGTGTTCCTGGGACTGTTTACCAACAGGTTTTCAAAGCCCCACCCCTGCAGGGGTTCCCCAGGCTCTACCCCCATCCGGTGGCCTGGGGTCCTTCCGTTACTAGCAGGACTTTTGCCTGTGAGGCGGGCCTGGAAGGTCTGACTTCAAGTGCCAGTATCTTCAGGGCCTCTGTCATTTCCTCCAGGCATAAGCTACTATCCTCCTGGGGGTCCACACTGTCTGCCAATATAGAGTCCACACCACCTGCCAATGTGGCAGCTGTGGAAGGGCCAGGTTATTCCATCTTACTCCCTCTTCCAGGCAGATTCACCATTTCCTTGGGCAAGGGGTTGTTCCGAATGGAGCAGTTAGAGCCTCTGTTCCCTTCAACTTATAACTACCTGGGGAGAATTCTGTCGGGTCTAGTCTTTTTCCCTGGTTCCTGAGAGATAACCTCTACATTCTTGGAATTTTCCAAGGATGGGAGTGTCTCTGTTATTCACAATGGGTCTCAACCACACCTGAGTTTATGCTAACCAAGTGACTCAGGATGGGGACTAGAAACACCAACTGTGGGATTAGAGGGTTGGGGTTTTGAGCCGGGTGATGTCAGCTGGCCTCTGGGTAAGGTAAGGGGCTGGAGAGAGAGTCCAATGACGTGATCAATAATGTAATTAATCATGCCTATGTAATGAAACCCTATACAAACTCTGGACAGCAAAGCTCAGTTGAGCTTCCTGGTTGATGAACACATCAGCGTGTGAAGATGGTGACACATCCTGGTTCCATGGGGAGAGGACTCTGAAGCTCCACATTCAGGACCCTCCCAGACCTTGCCCTACATGTCTCTTCATCTGGCTTATCCTGATTTGTATCCTTTGTGATGAAATTGCAGTGGTAATTACAGCACCTTCCTGAGCTCTGTGAGTCATTTTAGCAAATTATTGAACCTGACAGTTATGGGAGCTCCCACATTTGGAGCTAATTGGTCAGAAGTACAGGAGGCCAGGGACCTCTGAACCTGCAGCTGGCATCTGAAGTAAGGGTAGTCTTATTGGGGACTGAGACCTTAAACCTTTGGAGTCTCTGTTAACTCCAGGTGATTAGTATCAGAATTGTATTGCAATATTGCAGGCTCATACTGGGGCAGAACCAACTCTGTTGAGGTCAAGGCTATGAAGTCAGACTCCCTGGGGTCCAGAGAGTCAGCTCCCTGATTAATGCCTGGGGCAAAAAAGATTGCTGGGAAACTCCAGCAATCTTTTTTCACTACTGGAAAATTAAGCTCTAATGAACTCAGGTCAGCACACCCAGCTGAGTCTAAGGGCATTCCTCTTGAGAAATACACTGGCATCCTGACTCTTCCCTCTTCCCTGCTCCTCTCTGTCCAGCCAGTGGCCCAGGTTGCAAGACTAAAGGCACTTACTTAGAACATTGACCGTAGACTCGGATGTCAGTTGGGTGTTCATGGGCATCACATACTCTATGGTGAAGCAACGCCCCCGCTCTTCACCTGTGGAGACAAGAATCACATTTCCAGGCCTTTCTTGATCATGGATTTAAAGTTAGTCCATTCAAATGGTATTTCCAAGTGTTTTTTGGTCTTTGACCTACTGTGTCTTTGCACCCGAGCTGGGTCCAAGCCCTAGAGGGGTCCTGTCTCTGGCTCATGGCCCACAGCAGGGGTGGAGGCATGTCCTGATATGACAACCTTCCTGGAGAAGCACCTCTGTGAGGATGGACCCAAGCACTGAGAGTCGTGTGAAAAGAGGTTGGTATTGCAAACTCTCCCTGCTGAATGAACATCTGGTGCCATCTCTCTGTGTTTGGCCAGATGGGGCTGACGATGGTGCATAGCTGACTTAGATTCTCCAGCGTGGGTGTCATGGAAAGAACTCCAAAAGCCTTGTCAACCACCCTGGGAACCAGATCCCAGTGACTTCAAACTCTGCTACCAATGCCACACAGTCTGGAGCAGAAGTCAGAGTTGGATGTGATTCCCATGGCTGACTCAATACCTTCAGGTGTCCTCCCTGCTAAATACTGGTGGGAACCAATACCCGCTCCACCCCCAAAAGCCATACTATCAAGTTGGGAGGGAAAAGCCTGGGAAAGCCAAATTGTATCTCTTCCCAAAGCACACATAAGTTATAGGGTCCTGACCACACTGTGGCCAGCCCAGGCTTGCGGCTAGTCTTGTACGACTTGGAGATGCTTTTCTTGTGCAGGCTGGTCTTGGGCCATGATAAAGGGATAAAGGATAGGGTTCTTGGAGAGGTAACTTGAAAAGTTATAGGGAATCCCTAGTGAGTAAAAAGGGAGGCGCAGGTAAGTGAGGTCAAAATCTCTACGATGCTGCAGAGCTGGAGGGACCTGCTCATGCGTTTCCTCTGTGCCATTTTATGGAGGGAGGAACAGAGAAACTGCCAAGTATTTCCTATTCTATAAACTAGTGGATGCAAGGAAGCTGAGTTAAGGAGACTTAACCTCCTCGAATCTTCATTTCTGCATTTGCAAAGTGGAAATAGTAAGTCCTGTCTTGCAGTATTGGGATCGATAGTTCAATGAGCTAAGGCATGCAAGAGCATTTGAGATCTGTGCAAAGGCATTCTCTCATCCAGCCCTGGGAGCAGAGTGGGGAAGGCAGAATTACATTCATCTTTCTGGAGGGAAGACCTGGGGGATGAAAAGACTGGCTCAAATGGACATCCAGAATCAGGACTTGAGTTTGGAATGGGGTCTCGGCCATTTCAGGGAGCACCACCTGGCATATATGGGCATCATCCATGGTGAACTGTCTCCTTCCAGCATCTCTTGGCCATCCCTTCCCAGGGAGGGACCTCGGGGCAGGTGATGTCAGGGGGCAGGGCTGTCCCCAGCCCTGGGCACCCTTACCTGCAAGGAAGCAGACCCGCCAGAGGCCCGAGTGCAGGGACATCTTGATCTCGGTGCTCTGGTTCTGGGGCACAATCACGCCCTCCTCCAGGTACAGCCAGTAGTCAGTGCTGACCGCGATACCCAGGAGGCCCAGGCCACAGACAGCAAAGACGCTGCTCAGCAGGGTCAGGGCCTTCCTCCCGCAGGCACTCATCTTCCTGGACTGTTGCTGGGCAGCTAGCTGCCACGCTCCCACCAGCACGGAGTGGGCTCTGGGGCCAGGGAGAGTAGGTGAGCAGGTGGCAGTGCCCACGGCTGTGAGAAGACCAAGATGAGGAAACAGTAATTAAAGTCAACCCCCCACCTGGCTCAATGGATGGGTAAAGACCACCAGACAACACCCCGGGACACTAGTTCACCACGACAGAGGTGCAACCCTCTCCCTCGCCCTGCAGCAATTCAGAGCTTTCTTAGCATCCCCCATTGCAGGACGCTCTTGTCCTCTCTGGGAGTCCCCTTGCTGGGTACTGCCATTCATTCATTCGTTCAGCAACCCATTGTGCCAGACATGGGAGATATGAAAATGAACATGACACTCTCCTTGCCATTGAAGGGTTCCCCATCTAGAAGAACCAAGGCACCCCCAAAGCAATTAAATGCAGCCCACTGAGGACTCCGGTAGAGACCTGCCCAGGAAGTAGAGAGAAAGGATAGAGGAGAGAACTCTGCTAGGTGAGCTTCTCTGTGTTGAAAAGGATTCTAAGGCTCAAATACACTCTGAAAGAAGCCGGCTCCAGACAGGGAACTGGCAATAGCCTTGGGAAGGAGCAGAGGAGCAGGGAAGACTTCTTGGAGGAAGGGGTCTTCCTCATGTGACTCGAATTAGTTGCAGGACTGGGTCAACACAAGTAAAGAAGCCACGTCACGGTCCCAGTACAACAGCCTCCTCAATCCACCTAATCAGAAATGGGCTGACTCTTGCCTGCCCAGCACACACTATTTGCAGGGGCCAGCTCTGAACGAGAAGAAGAGAAGCTAAGTGTCTATGCAAGGTCATTAACCATAAGCCCCACCTGCTGATATCTGCCAGGGTCAGGCACTGGACTTGGAGCTAGAAAACAGTGCAGAACACAGCAGATGGATGCCAGGCCCCATGGAGCCCATAGCTAGTCTCAGGGCTTCTGTGCTCTGGCTACAATCTAGAGGTCCCTAGGGAGTGTCTAAAAAATCCCTGATTCCCACATCCCACTCCAAGAGATTGTGATACAATTGGACTCAAGTAGGGCCTGGAACAATTGGTCTTTGCTACTCAAAGTAGAGTTCATGGACCAGCCACATGGGCATCCCCAGAGAACTGGTTAGAAAAATAGACTCTCTGTCCTCTCCGACTCCCTAAATTGAAATCTGCATTTTAATAGGATCCAGGTGAGTTGTCCGTCTACTAAAATCTGAAGTGCTATGCCAACCAAACTGGTGATGGCATTGTAATATAGCAACGGCTAGGATGGGAAAAGCCCAGGATGTGACAAAGGCCCAGAGGGGTAATCCAGTGAGGCTGGACGGGGAGGCAGAGATATCTCTAGAAGAGGAAGGGGTGTTGGGCAACTCAGAAAGCTGGTATCACCCAAGCCAGCCATGGCTGCAAGTTGGCTACCCTGGCAGCATCTTTCACTGGCCCCTTGCCATATTGCAAAGTCAGAGCTTTTGAAATGGGATGTTAGTGATGTTAAGGAAAGAAGCACAGTGGTGCTTTGGTGCAGTTCATCAATATCAGGGCTCCAGTGGTGTCCTAGGGCCCTGCCTCAGGGATGGTATCATGTGCCAGTTGAGATCCGAGGCACAGGTGGGTATTGAGACAGCTGAAAAGGGACAGAAGCCAGATTTGTCTGCAGAGTCTGAGTTGACTGTAGGAGAGAGGGGGAGAGATTAGAGCCTCTTTGTGAGAAGGGGTCGGGGTGGGGGGGCGGTACGTGCTGGCCCTGATCCCACAGCGCTGACCCTGCCCTAGAAGTTGATCATGGGAAAGCTGATTGATCTACAGAGTGAGCCACACATTAGCTTCCTTGAGGCATGTGTGTCCATGTCTGCAAGGCTGGAGAGCACAGGGCTTTAAGCCACAGTGATCCTTCCTGTGTCGGCTTTGATAAAGGAGAGAGAAATGAAGCGCCAAACAGCCCTCTCCACCCAGCCAAGTCATTCTGCATGCAAGAGGGTGGGCAGTGGAGCAGGACAGCCTGTATCCAGCACAAGTATCTAGTAAAGCACCTATAAACCCTGTGCTTGCAGTTGTGGAAGAGGCGTGGCCACCCGCAGAGTTCGCGAGCTGGAAAGATGGGAAACTACAGCATCCTGTTCTGACTGAGGATGGGGAGGCGTCATGACAGGGAGAACCCAGGACCTGAGGAAGAGGAGCCAACTCCTAGCAGAGGCCCAGGGCAAGGCTGCTGCCGATTGGTGGGAAGCAATAGTGACGTAATGATAGTATTGTTATATTAATAGTAGTTAGCCAAACACTGTCACTTACACTTGAAACTCATATAGCCCCAACATCTGCCAAAGGAAGTGGAATTGAAACCCCAAGGATGGTTAGCAGGGGTAAGGGGAGCAGTGGAGAACAAAGCCATATGGCTCGCAAAGGCGAACAGAGCCTTGAACTTAACACTCAGCCATGCCATAAAGATCCATATAAAGCTGGGAGATTAACCGCTCTGCTATGGTTTGGGTACAGTGGTTTGTCCCCACCAAAGCTCATGTTGAAATTTGATCCTCAGTGTGGCAGTGTTGGGAGGTGGGCCTGGTGGGAGGTGCCTGGGGTCACGGGATGCCTCAGGAGTGGCTTGGTGCTATTCTCAGGGTGGTGAGTTCTCACTCTCGAAGACTGGATGAGTTTGAAGGGTTGCATTAGTCCCCTCGAGGCTGAGTTGTTACAAAGCCTCAGGTTTCCTCCATTTCCTTCTTGCCCTTTTCTGCTGTGTTGTGATGCCACACAAAAGCCCTTACCACAGGCCAGGGGTATGCCCTTGAACGTCTCAGCCTGCAGAACCAAGAGCTAACTAAACCCCTTTTCTGGGGAGATGGATACAGCAAACCACCGTGACACAGGTATACCTATGTAACAAACCTGCACATTCTGCACATGTACCCAGAACTTAAAGTATGATAAATTTAAAATAAAAAAATAAACTTCTTTTCCTTATAAATTATCCAGTCTCAGGTATTCTCTTATAGCAACACAGAACAAACTTCGACATTCTCTGAAGCCTGTTTTTCTCCTGGATAACACAGAGGAAGAGACTAATAATGAACGCTAATCGTCATGTTAGGCACCCTGTTAAGCACTTTACTCCCTATTTTAATCCCAACTACTCTTACCATCCCCATTTTACAAGTGAGCAGACTGAGGAGCAGAGAGGTTGAGAAACGTGCCCAAGAGCACTCAGCTGGCAAGGGGCGGTGCCTGCGTTTGAAACTTACCTTGCCCCACTCCCAAGCCCTTTCTCAAGGCTGGAATTCACAAACTCCCAACCCCATTGGTTTATCCAGCGGGTTCCATGGGGCAATAATTCCATAGAATATGCTAGAAAAAGTGACTCTGGTTAAAAAGAAAAAAAACCCAGCTTGTGAAGCACTGCACCTAGCCCTTATAGAAACACTGCACATTATGGTAAAGGCTTGAAAAGCCTGTTTAGCTTTGCATATTTCAGTATTTTCCAAACTTATTTGAGAAAAAAAAATGACATCATGTTCCATGAAACCCACTTTGGGAACCACACCCCGTGCCAGGAATAACAACAAGACCTGCCTTGCTCACTCCACAAAATTGCTGGCGTGATTAAACACGACAGCAGATATGACTGTGCTTTGAAAAAAACATCTAAAGCATGATCCTGGCATAAGGTATTCTTATTAAACGACAATGGACTAAGCCCCTTGCAACTTGCAGAGAGGATGGATCAGAGCTTCCGAAGCACGACTGCTGTTGCCTGGTCGAAGCTGAGCAGCCAATCTTAATGTTAAGCTTGGCAGGGAGATGAAAAAGATTCACGTCTTGGAGATTTGGAAAGATGAAAGTGGAGAGAAGACTGGATCTTAATCTACAAAAGCAAGAAATAAGAGGCTGAAAGTGACCTTGTCTGCCAAACTCTATAGCAGCAGATCCTAAAGCCTGGAAAATACCTAGGAAAACCAAACAGTTTCATCTATTTCCAGAGTATGTGATAAATTTATGGAATGCCACCTGGGGTGAAAAACAGCAATGTTGTTCATTACAAAATTATATCTATGCTTCTATTATGTAATCCTATTTATAAATAAATAACATCATCGACTGAGTATGGGTTAGCTCCCAGGCGCTGTGCAAAGCCCTTCATGTACAGGGTCTCATTGGGACCTCATGATAACCTCATGAGTAGGTGGGATTAGCCCCATTCTGCGGATGGAGAAACTAAGGGTTAAAGATGTAGAGTAGCCTACAGGAAATCACAGGTGAGAAGTAGACTGGTTTTCAACCAGGTCTAACTCCAAAGTCTATGCTTGGACTATATCATCTCCCTACTGAAGAAATATGGGTTCAAAGTAGGTCACTCAGGCAATCTAGAAATGTACGAGACACGGTATTCAGAAATATTTCTTTGGAAGTGGCCAAGTGTCACATAAAGGCTTTTTGTTTGAAACTACAGGGCATATTGTTGGAAGTCATCCAGGCATTCTGGTAGCTTCTTGGAGGTACACAACCACCCAGGATTTCTAATCCTGAAACCCACCTTGTGGGGCGGCAGGACTAGCATTTCCCTCAAACCACACACAGGAAATAAAGACCCAGAGGGAAGTACCTGAGATCACCCAGCCAGTTACTTGGAAAGATAAAAATGTGCACCAGAAATATTTTAGATGCTGAGCCAATGCTTTTTTCTGTGTATTGTGCAGGAAATTATAACACAGAAAATGAAAGTTACCTGCACTTCCCCACTCTGAAAACACCATCATTATTAACGTCTTAGTTCATTGCCTTTTAGTCTCTTCTCCTACGTCGTTGTGCCTGTGCATACATATTCTCCCACCCAGTGTCTTCGGCAGGAACAGGAGTGCCCTTGAAGACACCCTCGTCTGGACTGGATTCCTAGGCCCTTGTCCCAGCCTCTGCTTTTACATGGTTCCTTCTCTATCACATGAATCTCATGTTCATTTGATTTTCTTTATAGGAGAGGAGCCATTTTTCATAAGTTGCTACCACAAGAGAAAATGTTTACACGATAATAGTAAATGAATGAAGTTGAATGCAACACCACACATTTAACTTAAACTGAAGTGTATAC